CTCCTCCTCATATTCCTCGTCGCCGTCCTCCTCCTCTTCCACTTCCTGTCCTCTCAATCGTCGCGGCACCCAACCAAATGCCGCGGCGATTTAACTCCGCAGTTAAGTCTGTGCCTGGCTGGGGCGCGCGGCGTGGGAATCACTTATCTCCGGAGTTAATTCGTGTAATAGCTGGTGCGTCCGCCAGCTTGGCGGCGACTTAACTCCGGAGTTAAATTTTTCCGCGGGGTGGCCTTTACCCCGGAATCGGGCCGAGTTAACTCCGGAATTAAGTCTTGAATAACCTCCCGGTTTCAGTCGCTTCCTAGTAGTCGTAGTAGTAGTAGTAGTAGTAGTAGTAGTAGTAGTAGTAGTAGTAGTAGTAGTAGTAGTAGTAGTAGTAGTAGTAGTAGTAGTAGTAGTAGTAGTAGTAGTAGTAGTAGTAGTAGTAGTAGTAGTAGTAGTAGTAGTAGTAGTAGTAGTAGTAGTAGTAGTAGTAGTAGTAGAGTAGTAGTAGTAGTAGTAGTAGTAGTAGTAGTAGTAGTAATCGTAGTAGTAGTAGTAGTAGTAGTAGTAGTAGTAGTAGTAGTACTACTACTAGTAGCAGTAGTAGTAGTAGTAGTAGTAGTATTCGTAGTAGTAGTAGTAGTAGTAGTAGTAGTAGTAGTAGTAGTAGTAGTAGTCGTAGTCGTAGTAGTAGTAGTCGTAGTCGTAGTTGTGGTGGTAGTAGTAGTAGTAGTCGTCGTAGTCATGTAGTAGCGGTGGCAGTAGTCGTAGTCGTAGTAGTAATCGGAATAGTCGGTCCAGCCCGCGAGCCCGCTTGGGACGTCGCCGAGCAGTGGAAGTCGGCCGAGTCTCCTAATCTCCGTCCTCCGTTGCCTCGTGCACCAATGCGTGCAATTATTGGCATCGGTCTCTCAGTCTACCCTGGGAGTGGCCACAGATGGCAGCGCTGCTGCTCGTGGGTTTATCCGGGGTGTTCAGACTTGGGGAGAATTTTGGCGGCTCGTCGCCGTGGCCTTTCGCTGCCCGCCGATCGGCTTGGATCCAGCGGTGGCGCCTTCCTCTCCATACTTGCGCTGAAGACCGGTCGAATCTATCCGACCGGGCATGCTCGCTGCTCGGGCTGGTCTGCGGCGAGGCTGTTGAAACATGTGTTTCAGCATTTGTGCCCCGCTGATCTGCTAGCGTCCTTCGGGCAGAGCGGCTCCCGTACTCGGTAAAGCCGCTTGCTTTCGGCTCTGGGCGCCCCGCTTGCCAAACCGGCCTCGGGGTGGGACCTTGCGCCTGCCTGCCTGCGGGTTTTTGGGGGGCGACTCGCAGTTGCAGGGCCTCGGAAGACGCCCCTCGCGTCGTCCGGCGTGGGCGGTGGCGCCGAGCCTCCAGTGCGCAGCGCTGCTGCCGGCTGCCGCCGCTTCGCCAGTTCTATCCGCCCTCCCTGCACTAGCGCGAACGCGTGCTGCATGTCACGCCATTGCTAGCGTCCGTAGTCGCTCTCTTCCTTTTCGTTTGCCCGTCTGCGTGATTAGCTCAGCTCGCGGCCGCCCGCTGAAACCTTGAGGGCTTCGACCATGGGCATGACTACTCTCGCCCTGCGGCAAGCAGGTGGGCTTTACCGCCTGGGCGGCCCAGGCCCGCGCGCGCTGGGCGGACCCGCCCTCTTCTGGGACCCTCGCACGCGCCGGCCGCGGCCGCCGCCCGCAGACTGATCGCCAACGCCGTTGCGGGGGAATGCTTTCTGTTAATTTCATCGCTTCGCTCACTCCGCCGGCCCATTTCGCATCACTGTGGCTGCATGGTGGTGTGCTCGTGCCCAGGGGGAGGGCAGTGCAATCTTTCTTCGAGGGGATCTTTGGAGATGGGGCTAGCACCCTGTCGAAGGGAGCCGTTAGCTTGGCCCAGAGGGCGCCAAGATGGCTCAAGAGAGCTCTAGAAGAGTTTCGCCCAAAGTGGGTCAAAGTTCTCATGGATGCTTCGTGGGGACTCTTCGGAGGGAGCCTTTGGAAAGCCTCTTGGGGGCTTCTTGGGGGCCTCTTGGGGCTTCCCGGGGGCCTGTTGGGAGTCTTGGCAGCCTCTTTGGGGGCCTCTTGGGGCCTCTTGGAGCTTCTTGGGGGGTTGGTGGGGGCTGCTTTGGGCCTCCTGGGCGCCTTTTTGGGGCCGAGGGCTCGAAGTGTCCGTTTGGGTTCCCCGTCTGGCTCCCTCTTGGGGCCGTCCCGGGGATATCTTGTGCCGTTTTGGAGGCCTCTTGGGCCGTCTTGGGGCCCTCTTGGGCCCTCTTGGGGCTCTCTTGGAGGCCTCTTGGGCCGTCCTGATATTTGGGGCCTCTTGGGCCGTCTTGGAGCGTCGGGACACCGAACAGATGAGAACGGCAAAGTCTTAAACAACCGGTGAGAAATCAATGGTTCTTGCCTCCGGGATCCCTCTTGAGACGCTTCTTCGAAGCCTCTTTGGGCGTCTTGGGGTCCCCGTCTGGCCCCCTTCTTGGACCGTCCTGGGGACTCCTGGGGCTCTCTTGGGCCCTCTTGGCGCTCTCTTGGTGGCCTCTTGGGCCGTCCTGGGGCGATATTGGGGGCCTCTTGGGCCGTCTTCGAGTGTCGGGAAGCCGAACAGATGAGAACGGCAAAATCTTCTAAAACCGAAAGGTAGACGATGGTTTTTGCCTCGTGAATCCCTCTTGAGACGCCTCTTTGAAGCCTCTTTGGGCGTCTTGGGCGCCTCTTGTGGCCGAGGGCTCGAAGTGTCCGTTCGGGGTCCCCGTCTGGCCCCCCCTTGGACCGTCCTGGGGATATCTTGGGCCGTCTTGGAGGCCTCTTGGGCCGTCTTGGGGCCCGCTTGGGCCCTCTTGGGGCTCTCTTGGTGGCCTCTTGGGTCGTCCTGGGGCGATATTTGGGGCCTCTTGGGCCGTCTTGGAGCGTCGGGAAGCCGAACAGATGAGAACGGCAAACTCCTTCAACAACAGAAGAAACATCGATGGTTTTTGCCTCGTGGATCCCTCTTGAGACGCTTCTTCGAGGCCTCCTTGGGCGTCTTGTGAGCGTCTGCGGCCGTCTGGAGGCTATCTTGGGGGTCTTGGACCGATCGGTCGGCGACTCGGAGCTCTCTTGGACCGTCCTGGGTCCTGGGGACTCTTGGGGCCCTCTTGGAGCGTTCGGGGGCGCCTGAACGCCGCGCCCAGAAGGGAAACCCATCTGTCGGTAGTACCGGCCAGGGTGCTTTTCGTCCGGGGACCCCCAGGGGCCGCCCCGCGCGCGCGAACTAGAATTATTGTTTACCAGTCGCCGGAGATATTAGCGCGCCTCTGGCCCGTTGGGCCGGCGAATTCGCCTTGCTTCCTGCGCCCGACAGCCTTTGCAGCTTCTGGGCCCCCCGCCCCCCCCTCCTCTTTCGAGGCCCTTTGGCGCAGTTGCCCTGCAACGGGCAAGTGGATTCCGCGACGAGAGCGGCGCCGTGCGGCCCACGCGCGCTGGGCGGGCCCGCCTCCACTGGGCCCCCCCGCGCACGCTTGCCACGGCCGCCGCCCGGAGACTGTTCGCCGGCGCCCTTGCGTGAGAATCTTTGGCCCTGTCTCAGTCTCTGCCTATACCTCTTCGCCTGTCTCGGCCTCTGCCTTCGTCTATGTCTCCGTTTCCGTTTGCGTCTCTGTCTGTCTGTTTGTCTGCCTGCCTGCCTGCCTGCCTGCCTGCATGCTTGTCAGTCAGTCAGTCAGCCAGTCAGCCAGTCACTCAGTCTTTCTGTCTCTCTCTCTCTCTCTGTATATTTATCTTTGTTTTCTTTTCTCTTATTTTCCTTTTCATTTTCTCAGTCATGTTTTTTGTTTGTTCTCTCTCTCTCGCTCTCTCTCTCTCTCTCCTCTCAACGCCCAACGCCTTGGACCAACCGCGGCACCCCTGAGAAGCAATCGCGAACGGCTATCGTGACCAAAGTTTCCGACCCCCTCTCCGTGCATGGCTTGTCGAGCGGGATCGATCCGCGAGGCGCCCAGGGCCCCGCCATTGACGAACGAACAACGCACACCCATGCCCACAGGGGTCGCAAGGAGGAGGTTTGGCTATGGATACGGGTGCGGGTTGTCGGACCCCGGGGGTAGGCTCCCGTTCGGGCCGGGGCTCCCGTCCGACAACACGCGCCCATAGCCCCGTCCGTCCCCCCCCCCCCTGTGTGTGTGTGCGTGTGTGTTGAGGTCTGACCAGAGCGGCCGAGCGGTGCCGACTCGGGCAGCATATCATGCGGGAAACGCGTCAGACAAGGAATCTGGTCTCTCTTGTCCGCCGATGGGGCCGCAGAGCCCTGAGGTACCTTGCGAAGCGAAGACGTTGAGGAAGGGTGTACCCATAGATGCCCCACCGTGGGATCTCTTGCCGTACGCGCCTGCCGCGCCATCGGCCCCTGCCCATCAGTGAGCTGCAGGCCCCAAGGCTGCGGCACTGCCCCGCCGCTCCGGGCAACCCCTCGTGCGCGGGGGCGGAAAGGGAGACAGGGGCCCAGACATGCGCGTCGTGATTCCTTAGGAACTTGGCTCCCCAGAGGTCTGCACAGCTTCCCCAGGAGTGGCCTTTCATCCTCAGTCGTTTTTTGACGGCCCAGGGGCCGGGGGCGGGTGAGGCCCCCCCAAGGCCGAAACACGTCAAACAGTAGTACGTCGTGATTTCTTCACAACGAAAACGTGTCAGGGAGACGAACAATGAAGGGATAAAGGGAATACAGCGACCCCACACCTCGCCCCGCGAAGAAATCCTAGGAATAGAGAGGGAACAGAGAGAAGGCAAGAGAAAACAATAAGGCAGCAGACCAGGAAGGAGTCTCATAGCCTCGAGCCTTCAGTGGTGCCGGGGGACAGTGTGTGTGTGTGTGTTCTGATGATTTGTGGGCGACTTACAGACCCACCTGCTTTTGTGCGGGATCGCACCAACACGTGTTGGGTCGCAATCCAAGCGGCACGTACGACAGAGAACAGACATCTCGACGTATTTCTAGAAACTCATGTCAAGTTCGAGCTCGTCGTGTTCTTCCATGCAGGTGTTGCCTACAGATTGAGGCCCGCTTCCAATTTCGTTTCATGTATAAGGAATTGTTCGATCACGCAACTTCGGCTCAAGCGCGTAGGTCGGAGAAGGTCGCACCATGCCGAAATGTTTCCTGTTTGCATGGCGTTCTGCCTTTCTTGGTTGCCTCATACACTGTGTTCATTGTCGCAGTCCAGAAGAGGATGGTTTTTGTGAGTCCCATGCCGATTCGCTAGAGGCCTGTCGCATTCTTTCTGTCAGCCTTGATGTGAGGACAGATCGTGGTATGAATGTGGCTGTTGTTTCGCCAGCTGGAAGCGACCAGTCGCTCGATCTGCTTCTCGAATGGTGTGTGTTGCATCGCAAAGAGTTGCGATCTGCTGTGTTTTCTGCGAAGAGTGTGCTCCTCTTTCGCGGCTGGGATATACAGGTGCAGCACGCCGAACAGCTGATATTCGATGCGATTGCTTTCGGCAAGATGCAGAAATACCCACAGTGGTTTGTGGATTTTAACGTGCGTGCCCAGCGCCTGGGCGTTCCTCCGTCGAACTTGACACAGAGAGAGCTTTCACGTAACGTGCCGAAGCCTGTGCCAAAAAGCATCCAAGCCCCACATATCGAGTTCGGCTTTGGGCCCAGGCGGCCCCGGGTGTGCGCATTTCATTGCGAGATTCCGCCGGCAGCAGAAGGCGAGACTGCTTTGATTTATTTACCCGACGCATTCAGTAGTTTAAGCAATGAGTTGCGCTTGCTATTGGAGACATGCGGTTGGTGGCATCATGCGGTGGGCTTCGCTCAACCATCAGTGCTTGAACATCCAGAGACGGGGCTCAAGACCCTGCAGCTGTACGCGTTTACGGACCAACAGGCTAGATTATTTGTGCGGGCTTGGGACGATGTCCGCAAGACTTCTCGGCCCGACTTCCCTGAGGTAGATGCAGTGATCTTCCAAGTATCGCCGTCCGTCCCAGAAGACGTCACACTCGTGACCAACAGCAGCGAGAGGTTCCTGCTCGCTGAAGAACACCTGCTGGAAATCTTCAGGGCAATGCTATCATCCGTTTGGGTGCACGCCTACGAGCGTGGCGACGTGCTGATATTCGATAACGTGCTCTATGGCCACTTCCGCATGCCGAGCAGCGGCGGTCCGCGCATGCTGAACGCCATCTTTGCGGAAGAAGTTGACACGCGCACGCTGCGTCCGGCCAATGCACCCGACATTGTGCATAGGCATGCTGCCAAGGTTTGCCTAGGCTCGGCAGAGACAGTGCTCACACTTATTGGTCCCGGCGGCTCTTACTGGGTGCTCCAGACTTTAATGCTTCTTCCAGATTTTGCTTTTCGGTGGGCAGGCTTATTGCTGTGGGCTTGATCAGGCACAGGACTGCTGTAACTGCGTGATCAGTTGCTCCGACGTCCTGGCATCCGAAGTGGTTCTGAGTACCAGCAGCGATAGAAGTGCACCATCTCGCGGATCATCCATCATTGCCGGCAGTTGTTATCTTTTCATTATTGTTCTTCCGTCTTCCTCCACCCCTTCCCTTGCTGGTTTCCCCGCTGTGGCGTGTGAGGAATTCTCTGTGTGTGCCCACCAGTTACCTCGTACTGCGCTGCAGTTTCTTAGATTGCTACTGTGTGATGCCCGGTTGCGTGAATGCTTGGCCGGATCATACAGGAAAGTGCGCACAACGTTTGCATACATCTGCCATGGCATCGTCGTCACGCTGTTATTCTTCCTCCTCCCCCCCTCCTCACCTCCCGTGCCCTTCCCGTTCTGTTTTTGGACCTCTCCTCACCCGTCTCGTGATGCGAACGGCACGCGCGCGAGCCACAGGGCCAGCGCCGAACCATGTTGATGCTTGCGAATGAGAGCAATTCCTTGCAGCTGGAATCCTCTGGGCGTTCGCGTACTCCCCCATGCAGTGCTCGTGTTCGGTGTCCCCAATCGTGCCGCAGAGTTTGTAGACGTATTGCGTCGGCTGCACACGGTGACGCCTGTGTCCCAGCCAGGATCTCCAGAGATCACTGGTGCCATCGCGCTCGCCCTAAACAGTGGTTGTGGTGCAACAGATGGGGTGCAATGACCGAGCGCTACGATTGAGTTGTCAACTCCACTGCTCGCGCAAAAGTCCCACCCTCCAACCCTGCAAATTGTCGTGCAAAACCCATACGGCCGCGATTGCGGTGACTACTTGGCTGCGGCCGCGCTGGCGCGCGCAAACTCGCTTGCTGCGTGGCCAGCTGGTTTGGCAAAACTGATGCGGCCGCGATGGCGCTTACCGACGGCAGCATCCCAGCGCGTCTCAAAGGCCGCGCTGGCGCGCTGGCATTTCAGTGCGTGTCGGTGGCTCGGGCGGCCGCGATATCATGATGACGACGTCGACAACAGCGGCAGCGATGATGACAGTGGTGGTGGTAACGGCGATCTTCACGATGACCAAGGCAAGGCCGATGACGGCACCAGTGACGACAGCGGCGATGATGATGTCCATGCGTCGGTGATGAAGCTAATCGAATGATGATGGCGGCAATGGCGGCGATGGGCGATGATGGTAGCGGCGGTGATGCGACGGCGTTGGTGAGGACATTGTTGGGGATATGCGCGCGGAAAACAAACCAAGAAATCCGACAAACCCCGTTAACCAGACAGGTGGTTGGTATGTGTCGTTGAAGAACTCTATATTGACGGTAGAGTTTTGACTCGGGCGCGTGACGGCGCCCGCGTGTGGCCTGCATTGTGTTCTTTGAAGCGGATTCGCGCGCTGGGCGCGTGCTAGATCAACGCGGATGCACCGCGTGGTGAAACGAGAATGCGGGTGTAGGACGAAGCTGTTGCAATCATGTGGTTTTCCTGGTGGGTTCACCATGTGCGCGCGGGCAGGGCCTTTGCCATATTGTTGATGAAGCGGCCTTTGTTTGTTATACATAGGTATATGTAGGTGTATATATATGACTATATATAGCAACGAACCGTCTGTTTCAAATGCGTGCACAACTGGCGTGTGTAGTCTGGCATTTGCGCGCGCGTAATGTTTGTTGTATGTTTTACACGAAAAAGGGTTCTTGCAAGCGCATCCTCGTAGATACGCGAAGGTACGCGCATGGTTTTATTTTACATGGGAAGGGGGTGTCGCGGGTTGGTTGGGTTTGTACGATTTAGAAATTGGGCGAATGGGGCTAAACCATTCGTAGGTTGTCGTTTCCCGAAGGGGTATCGATACATCCAGGCATGGTGTGGTGGTGGAGTCAATCAATTATTTATGAAGAAGGTGGATCTGCAGGCTGCATGATGACGTGGGGAGCCTCGACTCTTCAACTCCACTGCCAGGACAAACGTCCCACCCGCCCACACGCAATGTCATTGCAAAGTTCATTGGCCGCAGTGACGGAATGATCCGTAGCGTGCCGATGTTTTATTCGGGCGGGCGAGTGATGAAGGTGACGACGGCATCGGCGACGACGACGATGATGATGACGGTGGTGTTGGTCGCGATGAGGACGAGGGCTGCGACAACGACGATGGCGATGATGTTGGTGATTCTGGTGGTGGGGGATCGTGGTGATGACGACGATGGTGGTGATGACGGCGATTTTGGTAATGGCGATGAAATTGCGGTGGCGATGGCACTGCTGACGCGGGTCAGATTGATGGCGATGGTGTTGGTGATGGTGGTGGTGATGATGACGAATGCCACGGGGACCCGTATTATGCATGCGCGATGCGACGACAACGGCGATGGCGATGCTCATGACGATGAGGAGGTTGGTGGTGCTAATGGTAATGGTAATGATGATAATGACGATGGCGATGGTGCTGGTGATGATGGTGGTGATGATGATGATGATGCTGATGGTTGTGGCGGTGGTGCTGATGACGACGGGACTGGTTATGCGGATGCACGTGCTGTTGATGACGACGATAGTGCTGATGATGGTGGTCAAAGGGTGTCGCGGACACCCTGACATATTCCGATTGGCGCACTTGCACGCGTGTTTTTCTCCATCTTTGCTTGGATGCTTTTTTTGCGCGCTATGATTTCGACAGTTCTGCGCGGGGCGCGCGTGTGTGTGTGTGTCTCTCGCATGGCATGTTCGACAGAGTTGGCGGGCGCGTGTTGGGTGTTGGTCCAGGGAAACGTAGAACTCGAGTAAGCCAGAATTTGGGTTCGCCGGTTTTGACGGTCTGGTTTTTGTGGGGTGTCTGCATCGGGGGTTCGCGTCCACTTCCAGATTGGGTCTCGTCATTTTCATGATGGCCCCGTCTGGCCCCCCCGAGTCCCCCGTACCCGAGTCTCACGTCTCCCCGATTGATTGGTTTCGGCATGTGCGCCCATGTGGATCGCGTGCTTCACGCGGCAGAACCACAACCAGCTTATACGTTGAGCTTTCCAACGAGGGAACGCGCAAGAACACGTGGCACTATCCAGTGAGGGGCACTTTCTGTTTATAGCTCATTGCATATGTACTTTAAACATCAAGTTTTTGGCAGATCGTGGCGCGTGCGAGCGCGTGGCTTGCGTTGTATCATGCGATGCAGGTGCTTCCGAGGTGCGCCTGCCAGATCACAACGAGTGACCAGCGGAGTAGTACGTGACATGGGTGAAGGGATAGGGTGGGTAAGGGATGGGCGATGGTCGCGTGATGGCTGCAAGGTAAGATGGTTAGGAGGGCATGCTATCAGTGCATGCGTAGAGTGGACGGCCGAGAAGGACGCGCCATGGCATGCCAATTCGCGGACGGGGGTCGTAAATTCCAGCGTCGGCATGGTGGTAGATTGCAGATCCCCTAGAAGCCATGCCGTATCTGGTCATTTCCATCGCGTGCAATCTACGGGGCGCACGCGCCCCGCCGAACTTGAAGCTGTGCTTGAAGTTGTCAGTCCCGCCCGCCCAACCGCAATTTGGTTTGCAAAACCCGCGCGGCGGCGATTGCGGCGGCTGCGCGATGCCGGCTGGCGCATCGCCGCGGCCGCGCTGGCGCGCGTGGTCGCCCGCGCAGCGGCCAGCTAGTTTGGCGCGACCGACGCGGTCGCGTTTGCGTTGATTGCTGGGCGCATTCCCAGCGGGCGCTTCCGCGTGCGAGTCGGCGGCTCGGGCGGTCGCGGCGTCGCGGCGACGTCGACGACGGCGGGCGCGACGATGGCGGTGGCGGCGCTGGCGGCGGCGGCGACGGCGGCGACGGCGAGGCCAGTGGCGGCGCCAAGCGCCGACGACGATGGCGGCGCCCTCGCGTCGGCGATGAAGGTTTTAGAGGGGGTTCAGTGGCGCACGCGGCCTACGCGCGAGAGTGGCCCGCGCTGCATCGGTGGACGCGGGTCGCGCCTTGCCCGCCGTGCGCGCGAGGGCGGTCGAATGATTTCGTCGCGCGGCGCGGGGGGCCCGTTTGGCAACCTTTAAAGGGCATGTTGAAATGTTATGATGCTCGTGGAAATTCGCAGGGGCGCGAGCGCAGTCGATCTGCAATCTTTTCGAAACCTGAGGTTTTCGAGGGCGCGCGCGCTTGGCTTTTTTCTCACGCTGGATTATTGCGACGGCGCGCGCGCGAGGGCGCCTGGGCGATTTCGGCGCGCGCGCGAGAGGCCCGGTTGGTAGCGCGTCATGGGCGCGTTGAAATGCGCTTGCGTTTTTCGAGAATTCGCAAGAGCGCGAGCGCAGTTTTTTGGTTATGCAAGATGTCCCGTTCCACAGGTTCCACAGCCATGCATTTTGATGCGTTGTCGGGGCGCTCGATTCTGAAATCCTCGCGCAACCTATGGTTTTTTTCGGAGGATTTCGGCGCGCGCGCGGCGGCTCGCGCGGGCGCTTCGGCCCGCTCTTTCGCGCGGGATTCTCAAACGTCAATGATTTTTTGATAAGCGAGCGTGCGCGCAGCACTGTCTTGCAGGGGATGGGCGGGGGGGGCCGGCCTGCCGGGGGCGGCGTGGATGCGCATTTTCGGATGGGCGATAGGGCAGAGTCGCGCGTGAACTGCAATGCGGAAAAGGGGCCCCGTCAATGCGCGGGTGGGTTGGTGCAGGGGGCGGGGGGGCGGTCCTGATGTTTGTAGACCAGGACAATTAATGTTGCGGCGCAGTTCGCCCCGCCGAACATGGGGTCGTCGACTCCGCCTCCCGTGCAGTGGCCCCGGCCGGCCGCCCGCAATTTGGCGTGCAAATCCCCCTGCAGCGGCGAATGCGGCGATGGCTCGGCGCTGGCTGGCGCGTCGCCGCGGCCGCGTTCGCGCGCGCAGGCTCGCGCGCAGATCGGCTGGGCGCGCTGACGCGACCTGCGCGGCCGCGGTGGCGCTGGCCGCCGAGGACTTCCCGGCGCGCCATGCTGGCCGCGCAGACGCGCGGACCCGGGCAGCGCGAGTCGGCGGCTCGGGCGGTCGCGGCGACGTCGGCGACGGCGGGCGCGACGATGGGCGCAGCGATGCTGGCGGCGACGATGGCGATGGCGACGGCGAGGGTCATGGCGGCGCCGATTCTGATCGCGGCGATGACAGCGATGGCGCCCGCGCGTCGGCGATGGGGGTTCCGGGGGGGCGTTTGACGAGCGCGCGCGGCCGATGGGCGCGAGCAGCCCGCCCGGCGTCCTTCGACGAGGATCGCCCCCCCCCCCCCCCCGCGCGCGCGCGAGGGTGCGCGATTGATCTCGGCGCGCGCGCGAGAGGCCCGATTGGTTGGATTTGACGAGCGCGTTGAGAACATGCTATGAGTTTACAATATTCGCAAGAGCGCGCGCGTGTCTTGTTCGAATACTCACGCGGCAAAACACGGCTTCGCTGTTTTATGTTCTCAGGGCGCTCGATTTTGAATTATTCGCGGCATTTTCGTTTCTCGGTGGGTTTTTGCACGCGCGCACGGCGATTCGCGCGTGTGCGCTAGCCTTTTTAGTCCATGGGATTCCTGCGCACAGCTGATTTTCGATAAACGAGTGTTCGCGCATATTCTTTCGCGGGGGACGAGGGAGGCAGTCGATGCTCGCCTGGCCGGGTAGATATAAATTCATATTTAGCATGGGCGGTGGTCGGCATCGAGCGTCGCTTCCATATTCTGAGGGGGGCAGATGCCCCCGGCCTCGGGCGGTGGTGGTAGATATTGTTAAGGTGTGGGGGGGGGTCGACGCGTTGCATTCTGCGCGGTG